GGTTATCTAGTCCCAGCTATGGTTGCAGTTTCTGTGGTTTTTTTCTCCATAAATCCTGCTCCCAGATTCAGCGCCAGCTACAGCATTACTTTCATCCTTGCTCTCTCGAACTCACAATACCTGGGGGATACACTTGTAATGCTTGTTTTAAGGATCGTTCAAACTCCAGCTTCCGCTGTGAAAAGTGTGACTTCGACCTGGACTTGGAATGTGCTCTAATGTCCACCACCGTCAAAACTAAAGAGGATGGCCAGATTCAACATTTCACTCATAAGCATCCATTACAACTTGTTGATCTCAACAAGGAACAAGATGAAGTTTTCTGTTCAATTTGCCAAAAGCTCTGCTCTGATGTTGTCTATGGTTGTAGGAAGTGCAACTTCTTCCTCCACCACTCATGTATGGACATACCTCGAGTGATTAATCAACACCAATTTCACTCGGAACACTCTCTTGTCCTACTCACAGATCCATCGTACGAGTGTCAAGGTTGTGACAAACACTGCTCAGGCTTGGCTTACACGTGTGGGCAATGCGATTTTCAATTAGATGTCAAATGCGCCTTCCTTCCCACTGCCGATTGTGAAGTTGCCGAATGGATTCAACGTTTCTCTCACCAGCATTCGCTACAACTTATTGATCCCAACAAAGAAGAAGATGAAGTTCACTGTTCAATTTGCAGAAAGCTCTGCTCAGATTTTATCTATGGTTGCAAGAAGTGCAACTTCTTCCTCCACCACTCATGCATGGACATACCTCGAGAGATCAATCAACACCTATTTCACCCGAATCACTCTCTTGTCTTGTTCACAAAGTCATCATACAAGTGTAAAGGTTGTGACAAAGACTGCTCAGGCTTGGCTTACAAGTGTCAAGCGTGTTTATTTGAGTTAGATGTTGAATGCGCCTTGCTTCCCGCAGCAAATTGTGAAGGTGCCAAATGGATTAAACATGTCTACCATCACCATCCATTGGAGCTTTGTGACATTGAGGATGGCCATGAAGCTCACTGCTGGGCATGTCGAGAGAGCTCCCAAGGTCGTCACTTTGTGTGTCACAGATGCAATTTTTTCCTGCATCAATCATGTGCCATTGATTTATTGCCACAAACAATTCAAGATCACCCATTCCACCCCAAACATTGCCTCAAGATCGAATCCTACAATGAAGAGAGCTTTGACTGCAGAGCATGTGGGAAGTATGACTCCTATGACTCTAATGTCTTAGGTTATTGCTGCGTGGATTGTCCTGATTTTAAATTTCACTTGGATTGTTCTAAGTTGATACCCTCTATTAAATATGGCAGCCACCGACACCTGTTTACTCTCTTTCAGAAAAGAGGTTACCCTGGTTCCTGTTTGATTTGTAAAGATAATTGTGAATCCTTCTTCCTTCGGTGTGTCAGTTGTGACATAACTCTCCATCTTCAGTGCCATCAATTAGCACCGAAAACACTCAAACATAAACACCTTCGACACTCTTTATTTCTGACTAAATCTCCCCTTGATTCAGACTTAGAATATTATGGGCATCGAGGTGAATATTATTGTGACTTCTGCGAGCTACCAAGGCCAGCCGAGGATCCAGTTTATTATTGCAAGGAATGCGATCTATCTGCCGACATTCGATGCTTCATCTCGCAGGTATGTGCGTACCCAGATGAGAATTAATTTGACAATGTTAGTTTTGTGTCATTTTACAATATTGGGTGCCTATATTACCAGGTATTGCTGTCAGTAACTGTAGAGGAGCATAGTGAAGTCGGTGAAGATAAAGATGACAACTTCAGAGAAGGCAAAAGTTTTACAACTGATCCCAAGGTTGTAAAGTTTGATGAGGAGATTGAAGAGCTTGCATCAGAGTTGGAACATAAAGAGTTGAGGAGAAGGAAGCTGAAAGCACAAGTGGAGGGCCTCCAAAGTGAAATAGAGGAATTAAGTAATGGAAGCAACGAACTGGAATGGAGGATAAAAGGACTTGAGCGTGACCGTCTATCTTATTTTGCATATAGAACAAGCAGAGTCCAATCTTGAAGAATCAACAGGGGAAGGACGCTCTTGGGCATGTCTAGAGAACTCCCCAAGCCCTCATTTTGTGCGTCACAGATGCAAATTTTTCCTACATAAATCATGTGCCATTGATTTACTACCACAAACAATCCAAGATCATCCATTCCAACCCAGTCATCGTCTCAAGATCAAATCCTACGATAAAGAAGGCTTTAGATGCAGAGCATGTGGGAGGAATGACTCCGATGTCTTAGCTTATTGCTGCAAGGATTGTTCTAATTTTGAATTTCACTTGGTTGTTCTAAGTTAACGCCTTCTATTAAATGTGGCAGCCACCGACACCTGTTTGCTCTCTTTCAGAAAAGAGGTAAACCTGGTTCCTGTTTGATTTGTAAAGATGATTGTGAATCCTTCTTCCTTCGTTGTGTCCGTTGTGACATAACTCTCCATCTTCAGGGCCATCCATTAGCACCGAAAACACTCAAACATGAAGACCATCGACATCCTTTAACTCTGACTAAACCTCCCCTTGATTCTGACTTTGAAAAGTATGGGTCTCGAGATGAATATTACTCTGACTTCTGCGAGATGCCAAGGCCACCCAAAGATCCAGTTTATTATTGCAAGGAATGCGATATATCGGCTGACATTCAGTGCTTCATCTCGCAGGTATGTCGTTATCAAAACGAGAATTTGACAATGTTAGTTTTTTGTCATTTTACAAATATTGGGTGCCTATACTACCAGGTATTGCCTTCACTACCTATAGAGTACCAAACCAATATGACAACGGAAGTCGATGAAGATAAAGATGACAACTTCAAAGAAGACAAAAGTTCTACAATTGACCCCAAGGTTGTAGGGTTTGAAAAACAGATTGCAGAGCTTAGAGCAAAGTTGGAACTTAAAGAGTTGAAGAGAATGGAACTGAAAGCACAAGTGGAGGCCCTCCAAAGTGAAATGAAGGCATTAAGTTATGGGAGCAGGAAACTGGAAGAGACGATCCATAAACTTGAGCTTGCGCATCTATCTTATATTGTACCAAAACTAGCAAAGTCCAAATTTTACTAGAAAATGCATTTGGAAATTTTAAACAAGCAAATTCAAAGCTCAGATTTTCCTTTTTGTTCACAAACTGGCTTTAGTTTGGGGTTTTTATTTTTATTTTTATTTTTATTTTTATTTTTTAAAGAGGATTAATTAATTTCATTCACACTGGACATTATTTCAATTAATTCCTGTCTTAGCTTAGTTAGCTCCTCTCTATATATTCTTGTGAATTAAATTCTTGCAAAAGAGGATTATACCCTGTTTGCTGTAAACAGGAAAGATCATCCCCTATGGATTATGAATGTTTATTACATTTGTCTTAGATGAACTTGAAAGTAAAATGACACATACACAATAATTCTTTACAATAAAATCTTACCATAATCTTACGTGATAGTAATTTTTTTTAGTCGGTCTTAAGTGATAGTAATTACTACCATATTAACTATTTTTGGCAGGAGACATGAAATAACAGGCATCTACTTGTTTGACATCCTATGGCTATGGTATGATATCTCACTATACTCCCTCAATTCCATAATAATAAGCCGTCTTTTTTTTTTTTTT